GGCCATACGACGGCGGTCTCCTTGTCAACCCATCCTCCCGCCTGGCTCTGGTGGGAAGCTGTGTGTCCGCTTGCTCCACCAACATGGCTCTGCAGTGGACCATCACAGACATGTAAGATCCATAAGTTTTCCTCTGTACACGGGATGAATTGAAGGATTATGTTTTTGTTATCGATTTATGGCTGGTGAAAGGTAAATAGGCAGTAACAATTATTCTAAATGTTGTGACAATAATAATATTGTGTTGTTTATTTCGGTGTTTGGGGTTAAGGTTAATCAAGCAAGGTAGAGCCAATAAGGCACAACACAAGCATATTAACTATCCTGGAAGTATACCTTTCATCCTGAATACAGTCCAGGACTAAAGTGAACTTAGTGTATTGACCCTAAACTGGACAAACCATACAGTGTAAATGTCTAAACCTTTTAGTTTACTTCAGTAATAAACTTAGTGGCAAAATTTGACTCTTAGTGTATATAGCGTATCTAATAGCCAGAGTTACCTATTTAAACTAATTTCTTTACAAAATTATATTCCTAAAATTATATTTCATAAATTCATAAATTATAAAAATAAAAGTAATGTATATTAAATGAGAATGTAGCAGCCTCGGAATTTATGATATAAAATTTTGTGAAAATTTATTTTTTAAGGAAAATCGTTTAGTTGGATAACTGACGCTACACTAAATTAGTTAATTTTGTTATCAATCGATTTGCTCACATAATTAAAAAGAATTTAGTTTTGGCCCAGATATATGAAAATATACAGAAGTGCTTTGTCTTTTAGACAAAAAAGACCTTGCCTATTTGGCCAAAAATGCAGTTCTAACTATTGCACATGACATATACACCGAAAAGCACAATTTTCTGGCCAGGGGAAAAAAGACACCGACGGTATGGGGGCTTATTTATTACGTAGTAGAATAAATAAAATAATTTCTGCAGAACATGTAAATGAGGCGGCTATAAGTAAGTCTTAACAAATGTAACATGTCCATGTCTAACTGAGTACAGCCAACCAGCGTAAATGTACACCCGTAGTAAATAAGAGTATGCTTATAGCCTACGGTAAACGAAATCTGCAGAAACCTACTAGCTTATACCTAGTACTACGAGTAAGACAAGTGACAAATGTAACCTAATTATAACACTATGAATAACAGGCAAGACACAAAAAGTAAATATAAAGTGATTAAACCACATAACACTTAATGAAACCCGATCAAGAGGCCCGAAAGACAATGGTAAATCCTAGCTAAATGAACGGAAATTAATCAGTCGTGCAGAAAATTACCTTGAGACTGGGGAAAACCTGATATGACAATGTATAATAAATTTAACCCCAGGGTGAGCTGCGGACAGCGGAACACTTGGGGGATCAGCGCTGCACCTCCACTCCGCAGGCCAGCAGGCTGGACCCTCCCCCCCCCCCCCCACCCCTTCCCCGAAAGGCGGGTGCCCGCTGGCCGCGGGGGACACCTCAAAGTGGCAGAGCAATGACGTCCTGCCCGACGTAGCCAGTAAAAGCGTCACTCTTCCACCTGCCGTCCGCCCTTATCTCCGTTGGGCTAGCCCGTCTAGAGACAGCTGAATGGCCCTGCCGATTCGAGAGAAATGCGGGGCGTAGTCTGCTGGAGTATGCCTAGCGCTGCGAGGGCGGTGCGAAGCATCCTGGAGAAGTCGTGCCTGGTCGGTGGGCAGGGGCTGGGCAGAACTTGCTGGCGGGGCCGCTCGCCAGGCTAGGGTAGGAGTGCGTCTCGCGCGTGCATGTAGGATCCGAAGATAATGTCGATTCCTGACCATGTAAACGATACCTGGTCCAGTCAGAGCGTGTGTCGACCTTTTGCCGCGTAGATCACCTCCTGCCCTTGTGTGGCAGTGCACAATAGAAAGTTGTTTTCACATATCCATACATTAACACATTGATTGTAACCATGATATATATATGCTTCAGCCTACAGTTTAGACCTATTGTCTTATGTATGACCCTCTGTCCTGCGTGACAGTGAATACTAGCATTAACCTCAATTTAATAAGACTATCAAAATCCTCAGATTAGGCAAAATTGTAATTAATTTTGTCAATAAAGATGTTAATAATAAATAATAATCCCCCGGGCTGAAAGTAATAAGGCAGTAAGGGTGGGCAGAGACGGGCATGCAGTAGTAACGTGGCAGGCATGAACTCAGTCGAGAGGGTAAATCCAGCTGAGTTAAAACGGATGAGACCTAGCAAATAAGGGAATTGCAGGAGATAGGCGCAAGAGGGAGGGAAGGGGGGGGGCCCGGATGCAGGATTTAAAAAGATTCCTTAATTAAACAATCCTGGATGAAAACCCAGAGTAAAAACGCTGGTACGGAGGAAACACTGGGGGAGGAGGGAGAATAAGAGTTTGCATAATCTGAATATATATACCAGTTACCGTATCTGGGGCAAAGGCAGAAGATAATCCAGGGGGGGGGAATCTAGCAAGTAATAACTCATTTAAAATATAATCCAATATAATAATAAAAAACAATAGGACAGCCCAAGATAATCAATATTTATATGACCAATATATATATAATATCGAACCAATATATAAATAAAACAATAAATTAAATATAAGAAACAGGTCTTAAGGCGTAACTGCAACATGCTTGTGTCCAGAGCGACACGAACACAACAAATTATAAGGATGGTAACCGAGTCCGTTACAGTGATCTCCATCGTAAGCTGGCCTCCGAATGCATGCTAGAGCTGAATAGTTAGCCTAAGAAGCTGCCTTAAGAGGCGCTGATGAGTTCAGTCTTGGAGTGTCAATGAGCATTCTGCGAGCAGCAGTACCCCAAGAACTTCAACAAGAACTGGAGATCTGAGTCAAAGTTAAATGGACACCAGTAAGGCTAGGGATCCTTATATGTAAAATAATTATGTAATTAATATAATAATATAGTAAAATTAACAGATAATGACGAAAGTGGCACGTAGAAGTGGTCGAAAATAGTAAACTAACTCCCAGACCCATAATAAATTAATACTGAACGAGAAGGGAATAATAAAATGATTAGCAATACTATAAATTAGTATAGGAAATAATGAATAAATATAAATATATATAGCACAAATCCTTGATATATATAATATCAAGTCGATATATAAATAAACAATAAATGGAATAAAAGAAAACAATTCTTTAAGTCATATCTGTAACATGCTTGTGTCCGAAGCGCGACACAAATACAACAAATTACTAAAGATGTGAGCGGGAACATTACCCTTGGTCTCCATCTCATGTTGGCCTCCAAACGGATGATTCAGCTCTTCCAAATGGAAGAGCTGAATAGAAGCCAAAGGAATCTGGCTTAAGTAGCCGTTGAGTGTAGTCTTGTGTTGTCAATGAGCATCTGAGAGCCGCAGTACTCGAGAACTTTGGCTACATATTGTAGAACAGGTGCAAAGTTAAATCGACGCCAAGGAACTAGCATTCAGTAACTGTAAAAAGAATAATATTAAGAATACAAAGTAATATCGTAAATAACAGATATGACGGCAAGTGCCACAGAGTAGATGAAATTAAGAAAGCGACGCCAAACCGTAATAACAATTTATGCTCATAATGAAATACTACTGATATAACAGTAATGATATGGATTAACATTAATACTATGATATAGCACAGTAAATAAGGGATACATATATAGTAATTAACGTAGGCCCTGGGCGACTGCATCCTGGCGCCGCTGCGTTGTCTAGTAACACTAAAGTATGGGTGAAACTTCACGATACTCCCTCCACGTACTCCAGAGACAAGCGCGGAGTAACCGTGATAAGAGGAATATCTGGCTCGCGTTCTCCTCGCCGCAGCAGTGGGGGGGGGGGGGGGGTACCAGCTTGTCGTGGCTGCAAAAAAAGGAACGTAAGAAGCCTGCAAAGGGGCGCCAAGCGGGCGGAGCACAAGGGAAGGAATATCCAGATGAAGGCAAGGGTCCAAACCGAATGATAAATGAGCTTAATTAAATAGAATAATATTACGTAATAAAAAACATCAATATCAAAGGAACATGAAGAGTAGATTAGCCAAGAAGGCCGAGAGGCCAAGGACCGTTAGGCTAAATAAGCATAAGCAATAACAGTAGAAGTACTCCAGTAGGAAACGATAATAACGAATAACGCAGAGGAAGGGGAGAAGTAAGGCAACTAGACCCCGGACCGAATAATAAAGAACTTAAATTAGATAATAGTATGATAGAAATATAACAACATTCATGATATTAGGCGAGGGCCGGAAGGCAGAAGAGGATTGATAGAGAATAAGACCACCAAAATAGAGACTATAACTAACATCAATAGCACATAGTAACAAGTAGAGAGTAAATCAGCCAAATCCGCAAATGAAACCAAAACCAAAGCAAAGTAGGCTTAAAACAATAATAAGTAGCCGAAAACCCAGAATTAATCAATAATTACAAATAATAGCAGAGGAGGGGGGGCGAAGTGAGGCAACCGTAAACTCGGGCTGAATAGAAAGAACTAAATAAATATATAACAAAGTAAATATATTGCCACCAGTCAACATGAAAAGCAGCTAGGAGTCGTCTGGGATTCGTCTTGGCACCAACTGGAGAACATCTTGCAATCGTCCTGGACCAGGAAGGTGCCAACAAGGAGGCATCATGCAGACATCCAGAAGTCGTCTTGTAACAATGCTAATACACCTTGCAGGCAATCGCTACTACAGGAAGACCTGTACAAACTGGAGGAAAGGACTAGAAGAAGGGCTGCTAAAGATCAACGCAGGAAAGTGTAAGGTAAAGAAATTAGGCGGAGGGAGCAGGCTATAACTAACATCAATAGCACATAGTAGAGCGTAACTCAGCCAAATCCGCCAAAGAAACCAAAGACCATAAGCAAATAAAACTGACCATTACGAATAGCCGAAATTAAGACATGCACCTGTGTAAAAGCCAATACTACGAATTTGCAAAGTTAATACAGTACAAAGCTTAGGCTGGGAGAAAAATGTGGGACGCTTCGTGATTTTGCGTGTCATCCTTGCGCGAGGCCAGGCTAATCTTCGCTGTATCGTTCCCATTTTTGTATATGTGCTGCTGAAGCGAGTGAAGAATAAGTGGTCATAATATAATGCACAATAGTTAGAATATATAATAAGTTACATTACGAAGGTAATAGGATGAAATAACCGGAAGAAAAAATGGGGGGGCGACCCAACCCGAATGCACTGCAACTAGCACTTCCTAGCTGAAATAAACTTAATGACTCAAAGGCAATAAGCAATAGTTTAATACAAATCATAATTGAATGTCCAATAATATAACAAATTAAATATGAAGCTTAAGCGATGCATAAATTGCGGTAATAAATTGCAGTGTTAAATACAAATCATAATTGCAAGTCCAATAATTAAAGTTTGTTGGTAATTGAGGCGTAAGCAATGCTATAAATTGCAGATTAGTAATACAAATCGTAACTGAAAGTCTAATATAATAAATTACATTTTTCTGAATAATCATAAATAATATAAATTATAAATCACCAAAACGAGGGCAGACCGCACGACGACAGGGCGTCGAAGCCTAAGTTAGCAGATAACTGAGACAGAGAAGGAAAACGTCCCACACTGGGAGGAGCAAGTAGTCGGGGAAACCTTAACCTTAAGCCAACATTAACGTAGCGTGTATAACACAAGCACCAATAGTAAAAAAGGGCAAAATAATGGATTAACTTAAACAACCGTTGCCAAATGTCGAACTGCAAAATCCTGCCCCGGAACATCAGCACCTGGAGCTTCGCAGCTGGGACACTTGCAGCTGGAGCATCAACATCTGCTGAAGATAGAAATATAGCCGCAACTGGCCACCAGGGTAAACTCCAGTGGTAAGCAGAAGTCCAGCTGCAAGACAATTTAGGTTCAAGACTGGAATTTAACTCATTAGAGAATATAACGGGAACAATTCACGAAGCTGGGAAAAATCAATAAATTACAATAAAAACTGAAAAGGGTGATAAATTGATAGGCACAACGTCAGGAGTAACTCTTCAGCTGGAGCTTCAGGAGCGGTGGCGGCAGCAGCTTGAACATCAGCAGCTGGGAAAGCAGAGGCTGGAACAACAGCACCAACAGCCGGAACATCAGCTACCGGGAATCAAAACATGGAACTGGGACGTTAGCAGCTGTAACATCGTCTGCTGAAACGAGCTGCGGCTGGGAGGGCGCCGGCTGTAACAGCTTCGGCAGAGCCGCCAGCTGGTACATCCTCTGCAGTAACAACACCAGCTGGGACAACGACAGGTGAGACGACGTCGTTGGAAGAAGCTTAACAATGAATAAATTATATTTTTATGAGTAATCATAAATAAATGGTGTAAATAATAAATAATTATAAATCACCAAAAACGGGGGAAGGCCGCACGACGACTGGGTGTCAAAGCTTAAGTTAGAGGATAACTAAGACAGGGAGGGGGGGGGGGGCAGCCTCCTCCCGAATGATGTCATCAGCAGCCTTAATGTCCTTAATACCTGCTTCTCTCACCCTAACTCGCAACTCAAGATGGAACACTGACATAAACTTCTCCATCATTATCAGCCGTTTGATCTCATCTGCTGACTCTGCTTCCTCCAACCTTCAACCATCATAGGAATTTCCGTTCCATATCTCTGGTGGTCTCGGCGTAAGACTTTCCCGACGCTCTCATACACTCTCTGAACCGCTTCCAGTACATCTCCTGAGTCAGCCGGAACGAGTGGAGCACCACACTCTTAATCGCGTCGTAACTAGCACACTCCTCAAACTGCCACCTAGGGAAGGAGAGAGGAGGATGAAAAGAGAAAAAGGTGACAAGAGTGGGAAAATAGTCACTGTTATGGAAATCATCAAGAACCCGCCACGTGAAATCTAAGTAAAGAGACAACGAACAGAGAGAAAGATCAAGACAGGAGAGAGTGCGAGTACGAGAGTCCACATTTATTTATTTATTTATTTATTTAATTATTTATTTATTTATATATATACAAGAAGGTACATTGGGATAGTGAGGATACATAATATAGTAATTACAGTCTTGTAAAGCCACTAGTATGCGCAGCGTTTCGGGCAGGTCCTTAATCTAAAAAAAATTTAAGTAGGTAAATACTTGCAAAATTTATAAAAATGATAACAGTTACAAGGCAAGAAAAAAAATAAAGGATGAGAGAAAATTGTAGGTATATTAAAGCACATCGGTAGCTCAGATTGATAAGGTTGGTTGGGTTAAGTACATAAAATTTGGGAGATTGGGTAACACTAGATACAGATCAAATTTAAAGCTCAGTGTAGGAAACTACGAAGATGAAGTTAGGTACTTTTTGGTTTTGCTTTTAAATAAGGCAAAAAGTTTTACAGTTTTTCAATTCACTAGGGAGTGAGTTCCATAGACTAGGTCCCTTAATTTGTATAGAGTGTTTACACAGATTAAGTTTGACCCTGGGGATATCAAAGAGATATTTATTTCTGGTGTGGTGATAATGGGTCCTATTACATCTGTCCAGGGAGAGTTTCAGAGCATGGTTTGTATTTAAGAACAGGGTTTTGAAAATGTAGTTGACACAAGAGAATGAGTGGAGGGAGTTAATATTTAGCAAGTTTAGGGATTTAAACAAGGGAGCTGAGTGTTGTCTGAAAGCAGAGTTAGTTATTATTCTGATAGCAGATTTTTGCTGGGTGATGAAGGACTTAAGGTGGTTTACAGTGGTAGATACCATGCACAGATACCATAGTTAAGATAGGGGTAGATTAGTGCATAATATTGTGAGAGGAGAGCAGAGTTAGGAACATAATATCTTATTCTAGAGAGTATACCAACTGTTTTAGAGACTTTCTAAGTTATGTGTTGAATGTGGGTGCTGAAGTTGAGTCTCTTGTCTAGGAATAGGCCAAGAAACTTGCCATCATTTTTATTACTGATGTTAATGTTGTCTATCTGTAGCTGAATAGCATTTGATGATTTGCTTCCAAATAAGATGTAGTAGGTCTTTTCTCTGTTTAATGTTAGTTTGTTAGTTGACATCCATAAGTGGACTTTTTTTAAATCATTATTCACAACATTATTTAGCGTATGTGGGTTGGGGTCTGAATAGATAAGGGTAGTATCGTCAGCTAACAATATAGGTTTAAGAATATTACAGACATTAGGGAGATCATTGATATATATATATAAGAAATAGAAGAGGTCCTAAGATGCTGCCCAGTGGCACTCCACCGGTAATTGGTAGAGTGGAAGAAGTTGTATCATTGATGGTTACACATTGGTGTCTGTCACTAAGATAGGATCGGATGTAGTCAAGGGCAAGGCCTCGGATTCCATAATGCTGGAGTTTAAGTAAGAGGTAGTTGTGATTGACAGTATCAAAGGCTTTTCTTAGGTCAATGAAGAGTCCAATCGGAAACGAATATTTGTCAAGGGCTGAGTAGATTACGTCAAGGAGACTAATGATTGCATCATTGGTGCTCTTTTGGGACCGGAAGCCAAACTGGCAGGGGCTGAGTATGTCGAATTTTACGAGGTAGGAATAGAGCTGTTTGTAAATAATTTTTTCAAATATTTTTGATAGAATGGGTAGATTTGATATTGGTCTATAATTGTTTATGTCCGCCGGATTGCCTCCTTTATGGACTGGCGTTACTCTTGCTTTTTTAAGGATATCAGGGAAGGTGTGACACTCTATAGAATTATTGAACAGTAGAGCTATGGGTGTGGCAAGGGCATGGGAGGTGCTCTTGACTCAGCACCAAGGTAAAACTCAGAGGTGAGTTTTATTTGGTTATGTGAGTGTTATTTAGTTCCTAGGATACTAGAGATTGTTTTCCATGTGCTTTTCATGTTGCCTTTTGCTTCATTGAATCTATTCACATAATATGCAAGTTTTGTCTTTCTTATGATTCTGGTAAGCATTGATGAGTACCTTTTAGCTACTTCCTTTGAAACTAGGCCAACCCTAACTTTCTTTTCATATTCATGTTTCTTGTTGATTGAGTTGAGAATGCCACTTGTGAGCCATGGATTGTTTAATCTTTTGTCAGTTACTTGCTTGGTAAGAAGGGGACAATGAAGGTTGTAGAGGCTTAGAGTTTTGGAGAGGAAGAGGTTAGCTAATGAATTTATATCCTGGGTATTAATGAATTCAGAATCCCAGTTAATATTGTGAAGTGCATTTGTAAGATTGCCTAAAGCTGATTCATTGTGTAACCTAAATGAAAGTTTCTTGCTTTTTGGTGGTGTTATGTCCATGTTCGCTATGAGAAAGGTAGGACAGTGGTCAGCTGTTCTGTCGTAGATTATTCCAGATACAAGGGGAGCTGTTATGTTTGTCCATATGTGATCCATATGGACAAGAGGCTTCAAGGTGGAACGCGAAGTCCGTATACCAGATGGAGGGACCTTCTGTAAGCCTGACATCATAACTTGCAATGGTGACGAGGCCTTCATATTAGACACCCAGGTCTCTGCTGATAACTTCCCACTCTCCCGTCCACATCAGAGCAAGTGTGACAAGTACGGCACCCCCGAGATCCTGCAGAAGGTCCGGGAGTATACCGGGAAGCACACAGCATCCGCCTCTTCAATAACCCTTAATTGGAGGGGTGGATGGTGCAAGGAGAGTGCGCGTGGTCTACAGGACATGGGTCTCACCAAGAGCGACCTTGAGATTTGCTCTGTGAAGGCCCTGACCTGGACATATTCTATATACAGAATAAGGTCCAAGACCACGTCACGGGGCAGACCACCTTAGTCCCAGGGTCACTGTGCACAGGGTGCATAAGGGTCAATATAGTCTCGCTTAGGTGAACCGCAGCCACGATAGCTGGTAGCCAACTATCCAAGCAGAGTCGTCATCTGGAGTACCACTTCTAATGGCGTCTCACAAGAGGGTGGATGACCTGGCCGGAGCCCACGAGTGGGTAAGGCGGCGGTCGGAGGGACCCCCATGCCCATACATGATATCCCTCCCGCTCCGGGGCCTTGTTAGGAGCTTCCACTGTGTCTAGTTTTCCATGTATGCCGACGTCAAGTCATCAATCCTGCCGTTTAGGCAGCTTGCTGCTTTGGCCTTCAGCGTTAG